CCCATCAGTTTACATGATGTCATAACTCAGTAGTCCAAAATATGAATCTTCACCACAAGCAAAACTTCAGACCTTACCATCAGAAATATAGATAACTTCATGTGGATAAAATTCCTATCAACTCCACAAATATATAAGTATGTGTAACTATAAGCAAAATTCTGAAAGCTTGCTCTGATTTAATTAGTTGCCCTTTAACTCACATTTGTAATCACTCATTATACACAGGCATTTTCCCAGACCGTCTAAAAATTTCAATAGTAAAACCAGTGTTCAAAAAAGGAGATAAGTACAGTATGACGAACTATAGGCCGATTTCATTATTATCTACTTTTTCTAAGATACTTGAAAAGGTCATGTACAGCAGGATAAATCAGCATATGCATTGTAACAACATATTGGTCCCAGAACAGTATGGCTTTAGGAAGGGTGTATCCACTGAAGATGCAGCATTCAAGCTAACAGACAATGTTTTAAAATCAATTGACCAAAAAAGGCATGTAGGAGGAATTTTCTGTGATCTGGCAAAGGCTTTTGACTGTGTAAATCATGAAATTTTGTTAAGTAAGCTGCAATTTTATGGCATTCGAGGAACAGTGTTAAAATGGTTCAAATCCTATCTAACAAATAGAAAACAAAAGGTTGAGATAAAATCACCCAAATATACTCAAAATTTTTTCTCAAACTGGAGAACAGTAAAGCATGGAGTTCCCCAAGGATCTGTCCTGGGACCCTTGCTTTTCATAATATATATAAATGACCTTCCACCAACAATAAATTTTTCATCAGAACCCATAATATTTGCTGATGATACAAGTGTTATAATCTCTAGTAAAATGTTTGATGATTTCTGTGCAATATCAAACAGAGTACTCTCCCACATGAATAAATGGTTCAATGCTAACAGACTTGCCCTAAATTTAAACAAAACAAATGTAATGAAATTTACAACAAATAATGCCCCTCCCTATGTTTTAAATATTGGATATAATGGAAAATATATAGAAGAGACAGTAAATACGAAATTCCTTGGCTTGCAAATTGATAGCCACCTAAGTTGGTCGAACCATATAGATAAATTGATCCCTAAGTTAAGTGGAGCATGCTACGCAGTTAGAAGCATGTTTCATGTCAGCAATACTGAGACTCTCAAATTGATTTATTTTGCCTATTTTCATTCTGTAATGAAGTACGGAATAATTTTTTGGGGTAACTCATCTTACAGCCAGAAGATATTCATCTTACAAAAGAAAATTGTTAGAATAATGGCTGGTGTTAAACCAAGAGAATCATGTAAAAATATCTTCAAGAGGCTAGAGATCTTAACTCTCCCATGTGAATACATATTCTCCTTAATGATCTTCATTGTAAAAAACCAAGAATTTTTTCCAACCAATTCTACAATACACAATGTCAACACAAGGAATAAAAATCAGCTTCACAGACCAGTTGCCAGCCTCTCTTGTTTCCAGAAGAGTGCATATTATACTGGCATTAAAATCTTCAACAATCTACCACCAAATATCACAACTCTTATAGATAAACAGGGACAATTTAAAGTAGCACTAAAGAGATACTTAATTACACACTCCTTTTACTCTGTTGAGGAATTTATGCTTCCAAACAACATAAAGTGTATGTAATGTTTTCTCTTGTTTGGAACACAGGAAAAAAAAAATTTAGTATATGTTAATGTATGGATTTATGATGGATATTTTACTACTTTTGTGAAATCCTTACTATTTATGTGAAATTGAATTGTGCATGTATATATGTATTGTATGATTTTTGACAAATTCCACATCCGGTAGGTCATCTGACTAACTCATGGATCTATGGAATGGTATGTATGTATGTATGTATGTATGTATGTATGTAAGTAAACTTAACGAGGCAGAAGCATACCTTCAGCCTTGGTCAGTACACAACAGTATTCCAAGCAGAAATGTATACCATTAAGGCATGCGCAGCTGAGAATTTAGATAGGAACTATAAAAATAGGAACATCTATATCAGACAGTCAAGCTGCAATTAAAGCACTTGGTACACACCAAATCACTTCAAAATTGGTCTGGGACTGCCAACAATCCCTTATACAACTGGCCAGACATAACAGGGTACAACTAATATAGGTTCCAGGTCATGAGGGCATTGCTGGGAATGAAACCGCAGATCAGGATCTGAACAGACGTTCATAGGACCTGAACCACCTTGCGGCATCTCAGTAGGACAGTACTGCTGGGAATGAAAGCGCAGATCAGCTGGCAAGAACAGGATCTGAACAGCCATTCATAGGACCTGAACCAGCTTGTGGCATCTCAGTAGGAGAGTATTGCAGGGAATGAAACTGCAGATCAGCTGGCAAAAAC